CTTGTTTGAGAGTACTAATTGAAAGTTATGTAGTTCAACCTAACTAACACCTAGGGGGTAAATAGGTGTTTGCATGAAATTTAAGCAAATTAACTAATAATTGCAACACATCATATTTATTAATTAGTCCAGATGAATTCAAATATAGTCTACCCTATGTTGAATTGCCGCAATATAATAAGTTGCTGGAAGATAAATAAAATAGAATACTTGATAATAGAGAATACCCCTCACGGGATTAAAAACTCCAAACCCAAGCCAGTTGAATCCACTATAAATGAATCAACTTACAATATTGCCAGACTTGACCAACATAAAAACTTTCTGACCTCCTGATTGTAATTTCCAAAGTCCTCCTGGATTACTTGCTCTTGCATCAACTTCGGCTTTCTGATTTCGTCTATCTTCTATGGATTCCCGAGAGCTCCTTGTTCTCCAACAACTGGAACTCCGATCTCCTTTCTTGATTTTCAACCTTCAACAGATACTTTAGAAATATGGGTTTTTGGTGTTTGATTTATGCATTTTGATGTTTTTCAATTGCAAATCTCAATGATCAATGGATTGAATAATAAAGGAATAGTATATGTGATTCTCACAATGATCAATCCAATGTTTTTCAATTGCAAATCTCAATGATCAATGGATTGAATAATAAAGGAATAGTATATGTGATTCTCACAATGATCAATCCAATGTTTTTCAATTGCAAATCTCAATGATCAATGGATTGAATAATAAAGGAATAGTATATGTGATTCTCACAATGATCAATCCAATGTTTTTCGTGAAACTGACACGACCCGTTCCAAATCACCCTAGTGGACCCGAAACATGACGTGCACCGATGATAGATGTTGACTAGATGTCAAATCTATCACCAAGGCTGACAATGAGTTATTTCAAAAAAATGCAACAAAATAAATGCTTATATAAAATATAATGCGATGAGCCCAAAATATTTACTCTGTACTTCTTCAATATGAGTTATAATATTCAAAATGTCGTGTGGCTCTCATTTGGAAATCATTAGGCTCTTCCAGCTAAAAAGAATCAATTTCCACCTGTAGGAAAATTACGGGAAAATATATGAGTTGATAGCTCAGTGAGTGGAGAAATTCGAAAATAGTTATACTTTTTCAATTTTACATTTCTATCGAAAATCGAGTCCATATCATTTAATAATTCACATTATAATATCATGTAATTATAACCAAAAGTGAAATATTCACATAAGGTCGTAAAATATCATCTCAAATTGATGATATAAATATCAACTGATAACCATGTTATAATCTCATCATATCAAACGTGTTGAAAAATCCACCAAAAACGTACCATTTGACTGAAATATATAATTCGCCCCTTGAGCTAAGAATTTTCGCTACGGGCCTTTAGCCCCCTCCGTGAACAAAAGCCGGTTTCAAGACCTCTCATAATCAATTCTAGAATACGGCCAAGGCCCATATGTGAACTATATGTACACAATCAACACCAATGTCAAGTCAAGACCCTCCGTGTAGGATAGAACACGACCAAGGCCCCTCTGTGAACCAAAAGAAGTATATAATCATGAGTACTTTTCTGGCCGATCTCAATATTGCATGTCTCACATACCAAACAAATCTCAATATCACATGTCTTACATAGCAAGTCACAAATATGCCATAAATAATCTGTGATATTTCACATGTATCATAATAAAAGAGATTTCTATAATAATCATATAATTCGAACACATAATTGCACCTATTTTAACAATATACTTAATTTATAAATATTTTAAAAATATTTATATTTTTCCACTCATAGTACTATGTTCGCAAAATCAACCCGGTTGGTAAGCTGTTCTAATGTCAGTATCGTTGCCTGAAATACGATATAATTTTTAAATAAACAATTAATTATTTTAAATAATTTCAATAATTAAATATGCAATACCCAAATTTAATTATTTCACGTTTAAGCGATTTCTATAGTCTCTTTAATCACTAAAACTAGTTTTTCTTTTATTTTACTCAATTTCATAGTTTATTATACTTAACCCCTTCAATAAAATTGAATTTAATATAACAATCTAACAACTATAAAATCAAACATAACATGACAATAAGTAACTTTTTACTTACCTTTCAAAATTGAGGAATTCAAGCATAATAATGTAGACCACATAATTCCTAACACGTTGGCAAAAATTTTCTATTTTTTTTCCTTCTTCTTCCCTTTATTATTATTATTATTATTTTTCCCTTTCTCTTTTCTCTCTTCTCTTTCTTTCTCTCCATTCTCGGCTTCTCTCACCTGTATATATGAAAATGGGTTTTCCTTCTCATTTGTCTGTATCAATCCAATTCACCGCCTGACTGTTTCCCTTTTCTTTTTCTTTTTAATTTTTTTTAATTAAGGTATTTCAAATTTCACCCCATAACTATAATTACACTACAAGTCCCCAACCTTTATATAATTTAACATTTAGTCATCTTATTTATCATCCTAGAAGCTAAATCCCAAAATTTATTTTTATATAATTTCGGGCCCTCTTAAGTACTAGAAATTTCAAAACCCTATGAAAATCATTCCTCCAACTTAAATCCTTATTTGATTTTAACTTTAACTATATAATTCATTGACTTTGACTGTAATTGAGTGAGGTGTAACAGAAACAGCACAAATACTTATACAAAGGACGTTTTTGATAGTATGGTCCTATTAAAATTCTCGAAAATCTCAAATTAGGATTTTCTAGTAAGCAATGTCGCTTGAACGACATTGCAGCAAAAATTGAGCGACGATGCTTCACTCGAGCAATGTCCTTACGACAAGCTAGTGAAATCCATTATGTTTTTTTTTTTTTTTTTTTGGTCGCTTGAGCAGTGTGTTGGCGAGAGACAAGCGAAATTACGGTGACTCTTCTTTCCTTATTCCGAGCTTGAACCCTGACCTACCTAAAACAACTATACGAAATTGCACCTAACTCCTCGACTTTTACACTCATTCAATTTGTCCTTTTTGTTCACAGAATCGTCAATTACATTAAAATCCAACACTAATCTTGAAATTCATGTGCTTGTTTGAGCATTAGGGAAACGAATTGCTCATTTGAGTTAAATAAACTTAGCTATCGTATTAAGATTTAAAGGTCAATCTTTTTTTTTTTTCCTTAAAAAAAAAAAAAAGAAGTAGCCAAAGTATGATATAATTTGCCCAATGCAGAGAATACTGTTTAAGACCTTGTTTTGTGTAGATTAAAATCAAAATTTTAGCCGATTTTTGATAAAAGTTGATAAAACATGTGGTTAACAAGTTGTGGATCCAATGAAATCTGTGGCTAAAATTACTTTGTCATTAACTAGATATTTTTTTTACGCCAAACTAGGGCTAAGTGATGAAGATTGACTAAAGTGATCTATTGCTTTTATTTTATTTTAGTTGTCATTTGAAAATTATTGTTGGGGTATTTTAGTCTTTACTATTTATACACTTGTAATAACTTAGTTCTGGATCGGTATTTGATACTTCAAATCAACGAGTCCGAATTCTCAGTATTAATGGTCATATCGAGGTTTTGATGCCTAGTTTTGTGATATTTTTAGGAATCAAGAGATATTGGAAAATTGTAATGTCGTGATATTCAATTGGAATAACGAGATTTTGATCGCATGTTCATTCATTTATTTTTTCTATTCGTACCTCATTAATCAGTAAGGATCGATGTTGGAGCCATCCAAACAAATTTCAAACAATAATTAGAGTTCTATAGAAACGCTTTAACTTTACAGACTATTTGAGTTATTGAATATCATGGAAGCCATTTAAATGGCAGCTCGACTTCCCTATTTATCATGCCACTTGTATCTTTTGGACCGTTCACAATACTCAAATTCAATACGTTCTTATATTTAATGCGTTGAAGATTGAAGTTAATAAATAAAAAATTCTCTCTAACAAATTAAATTATTAAGTGATGTGGTTCAACATTTATATATAAAGCAAAATTAAGGTCCTCAACTTTAGTCTTCATTATTTGTTTATAAAAATTTTATACGTAATGCCAATGTTAGGGAATGAATTTGAGTGAGACAACTTATAGAATATTTAAATTAAAATAAATAAATATATTCTTTCTTTATTAACTTAAACTTTTCAATAATTTAACTTGTAGTTAATTTACAGAAGCATGCGTGAAAATACAGATTCGTAAAATCTGAATTCACCCAATTTATATTGTAAATTCGTTTAACAGATTAAAACACTGATTTCAATTAGGGGATTCATCATTATCCAATAAGATCAAAAGATTGACCAAATCATGAGCTGACTTTGTCCCGCCCTAGGATTTTGCCTTGGTCTCAATAACATTGCTGTAACTTTTGATTTTGTAACTGAGAATTTCAAACCTATAAACGATTATCCCAAACTGCGAGCTTTAAATGATAATTACAGCATTAATCGATTTACTCATTTCATTTTAAAAAGTTATCCTTGTCAATACAATTAATCTAAGCCCTTTTACGTCAAAAATATTTTCATATCTAAACCATGAAAGATGTTACCTTAACATATTCTTATAAGATCGTGGGTTTGAAAATATTTCAATCTACAAATTCGAATGTTGGTCTATGATTTATAAACAAGATGATTTTTTCACTTGAAGGCTTTTGAGCTCTATTAAGCCTTGAAGTTTTATCTTCAAAGTTCGACCTAACTTGTTAAGGAGAATAGCGAATTATTCAAATGTTGCTTTTTTTGTATTTTAGAGACGTGTAACTAAGATTATTATACTACCTAACTCAACAAAAGGAAATAAGAGAAGATTTCATATAGAGAAAAATTGTTTTTGTTTGAAATGTCAAATGCACGGTATATGAAGGCAAACTATGACCAACTTCTGATCGCCTCATGAACGAGCGTAAGTTAAATAGCAGTTCCATCATCTTTCCCACCTCTATAAATACATTAAATTCTTGTGCTAATCCAAACAACAGCACAAAGCAAAAGATATTAGAATATAGAAAGCAATCAAGCAATAATGTAGTCGATTAAGAAAGTTTTCGTCTTACATTTCATAGGATTTCTTCTTCTCGGTGGCGTACTGCCTGCCAATGCTCAGGAGCGTCGCTATAAGTTTGTGGTGAGTAAAATGCAAGCCTGCATTAGTGTTTTAGAAAGCGCAAAAAAGATTTATTGAAGTTAATAATCTTTATTTTTGCATTTGAGAGATGCTCCATACGCAAGGCTTTGCACAAACAAGACAATCTTGACAATAAATGGACAATTTCCGGGGCCAACTATTCACGCAACTAAAGGAGAAACAGTCATTGCTGATGTCTATAACTGAACAAACGAAAACTCATTCACTGGTATAAACATTTGTACTTTTATGCAAATCATAGACAAAATAACATTTTTGTACTTAGAATTCTGCCTAATTATAGCAGCCCTACTATAATTGAGTATATTCATATTATTTATTTTGCAGATATTGAAAATGCCACGATATCCATGGTCCGATCTACTCACCACTTTGGAAAGTCAGGATAAGAGGTTTCTGAGTATTGGCTTAGGAGTGTGAGCAGGAACAAAAGCAAGCTGGAATTGGACGAGGAAGGAACTTTATTGTGGCATGCTCACAGTGAATGGTCACGTGCCACGGTGCATGGGGCCTCATTATTTATCCCAAGAAGAAAAATGACTACATTTTCCAAGCCTCATGCAGAAGTGTCCATCATACTAGGTGATTGTATTTATGGGATGCCAAAACCAGTTAATTCTTTTTTTTCTTTTTTTAATACAATTAAGAATAAAGATGATATAGCAAGTAACTCAAATTTGAAGCTGTTGTAATTCAGGAGAGTGGTGGTACAGTGATGAGAGAAAGGTTCTTAATGAATTCATGGCAAGCGGAAGAGACCCAAATATTTCAGATGCTTTCCTTATCAATGGCCAACCTGGCAATCTATTTCGGTGCTCCAAATCAGGTTGATAGATTAATGAATCAATTATTTTATTAAAATTCTCACAAATTTTTGGCAATACGTTCTAGTCAGTGACATCGACTAATCATGAAAAAATATTCAGTACACAAAATGAAATGTTAACTATATGTGTCATATAATTGCAGATACATTCAAGCCGACTATGGATTATGGAAAGACTTATTTGCTCCGAATGGTTAATGTAGTCATGAACAATATTATGCTCTTTTCCATTCCAACCATAGTATCACTATAGTTGGATCAGATTGAAGATATACCAAGCCTTTAAAGAGTGATTATATTGCCATTTCACCCGGACAAACAATTGATTTCTTGTTGGTGTTAGACAGCAACCTTTCATTCCTATTCCCAATTCTCATAAAAGTACCAGCAATGTTGATTGATATTAGCAATGATGAAGGCTCCAAATCTGCCATATGTCCAGCATGGCAATAGGATTATCTGTAGGAATTATTTACTGTAATTTTGCTACATTAGAGGATGTGAATGTTTCAAATCTGTAAATATTGCTCCTATAAATATGTAGTAAACATATGGCTTTGGAATGATTTACCAAGCCCTTCTTATCATTTCTTTCATGGTATCAGAGCCATATTTGGCTAACGTCTAATCCTACCTACAATAATGTCTTCCGCTACTACCTTCATTCCACCTAACAATCTTGTTCAGTTTGTCTCGGTGAGACTTGATGGACCATCATCTTATTTAAACTGGTCTTCCCAAGTCGAAGGTGCCCTTGATATCCATGGTCTTCTGGGTTTTGTGGATGGTACTGAACCATGCCCAGAAGAGTTCCTACCTGTTGTAGGGACTGCTGCTCCTATTTCTAATCCGAAGTTTATCATATGGAACAAAAAAAATCGATTTGTATTAGTGTGGATGAAGTCCACGATCTCAGAGAAGATACTGTCCTTAGTTCATGGTCTCAAATCTGCTCGGCAAGCATGGCTTGCTGTGGCAAATCGTTATGCTTCTTCCTCATCCTCAAATGTGAATCAACTCAAATGTCAACTGCAAAGTCTACAGCAAGGAGGCAAAAGTTGTTCTGATTTTGTTGAAGGTGCTAAGGTTCTTGCAGACCAATTAGCCGCTGTGGGAAAACCCGTGACTGATGAGGACTTAATCTCTCATATTCTGGGAGCACTCAACTCATCATTCACTCCCTTCATATCCAATGTCTATTTTGCACAACGTGAGAAGTCGATTACATTAAATGATTTCCACTCTGAATTAATTGCTTTTGAAGCTTTGCTTGAAAATCAGCAGAGAAATTTGCACAATGATCACAACAACTTTGCTATGATGGCAAACAAGTTTGGAGGAGGAAAGAACCCAAAGAAAAATAACAGGAATTGGCAACAAGCTCATCCTAATACAACTCCTACTCTGGCAAAGAAGTCCCCTCAAGCTGCCAATCATATTCCAAATCAAATTCCTGCTTGGGCAAACGTACCTGACTTTGACCCTTATGCTTGTCAAATTTGTAAGAAAAAGAGTCATATGGCACTTGACTATTTCCACCGCTATGACTACAATTACCAGGGACGTCATCCTCCTCAACAGCTAGCAGCTATGGCTGCTCATTCCAATTCTATTCTTGAGGACAACACATGGTATGTAGACAGTGGCACTAATCAACATATCACAACGGATCTCTCAAACCTTCACTTGACTGAGCCGTATCATGGAGATGATAAAGTAGCCGTGGGTAATGGTAATTGTTTACAAATTAAGCATACTGGTAATCTCACGTTGCAGGAATCTCCTTTGCCATTACACTTAAAAAATGTCCTTCATTGTCCACAAGCATCAGTAAACCTTTTATCAATAAATAAGCTTTGCTTAGATAATGATTGCTATTGTATTCTAACCAGTTCTCAATTTCTTGTTAAGGACAACCGCACGGGACGAACGTTGCTAGCAGGGCGGAGTGAAGGAGGTCTCTATCCTATTCAAGTTGATCGAAAATCTATCAATAAATTTCGGTCTCATGCTGCTCTCTTAAGTGTTCGGACTACACTTAATGGTTGGCATTCGAGATTGGGTCATCCATCTTTTCAAGTCACAAAAAATGTAGTCAAGAATTTTGAATTGCCTATTTCTGGATCCTTTAATATTGAGTCTGTTTGTGAATCTTGTTTATTGGGAAAAGCAAAAAAATTACCTTTCAATGAGTCTTCCCGTATCATGTTATCAGAACTCAAACTTATTCATTCTGATGTTTGGGTCTCTCCTACACCATCTTCTGATGGTCATCGTTATTATGTTATCTTCATTGACGATTACTCTAGATTTACTTGGTTGTACCCACTTAAAAATAAATCCGAAGTGCTCTCATGTTATATGCAATTTAAGGCCCAAGTTGAAAACCGTTTCTCTTCAACAATTAAAGAATTTCAATGTGATAATGGTGGTAAATATCTCTCAAACCAATTCCAATCTTTTCTTCGCAAAAATGGTATCCATCAACGCCTATCATGTCCATATACCTCTCAACAAAATGGTTTGGCTGAACGAAAGCATCGACACATTATGGAAGTTGGACTCTCACTTTTAAGTCAATCACATTTACCTACAAAATTCTGGGTCAATGCCTTCATGACAGCCATTTACCTCATTAACCGAGTACCCACACCTGTTTTGAAAAATGCATCTCCATATGTAAAATTGTTTGAGGAAAACCCAGATTATTCTTTCATGAGAACTTTTAGATGTGCATGTTATCCTTTATTGAGACCCTACACGAGTCATAAACTAGCTTTTAGGAGTAAACAATGTATTTTTATTGGATACTCTTCTCACCATCAAGGCTATCGATGTTTAGACCCTGTCTCTAATAAAGTGTATATATCTCGTAATGTAGCCTTTAATGAACAAAACTTTCCAGCAAAAGGATGGACCTCCTCTACTTGCTCTACTACTTCAAATGCCACCGTGCCAGGTATTTCATCTGATCTTGCACCCTTTTACCCTCAACTCAATATATTGTCACACCAACCACATGAAGAAGAATTACCATTACTAGCTACTTCTTCATCTAACACCACCGAACACATACCTGACTTTAGTTTTTCTCCAACAATCGAGACCCACCTAACCTCTGATGAGTCAGAAACTGAACGCCCTGCATATCATAGTGTGCTTAATATTGTTGAGCCTACTACTTTTTCCCAAGCTGCTTTATCTCAGGAGTGGCAGGAAGCTATGCAACAAGAATATAATGCACTAATAGCCAATGATACTTGGGATATTGTCCCTCGTCCTGTTGATCATAACATCATTCGTACCAAATGGGTGTACAAAATTAAGCAAAAGGCAGATGGAAGTGTTGATCGTTACAAGGCGAGACTAGTTGCTAAAGGTTTTCAACAAATAGATGGTGTCGATTTTACCGAAACTTTCAGTCCGGTAATAAAACCAGCAATTGTACGTGTGGTTCTTTGTCTCGCTGTTTCTTTTGGCTGGTCCATTTTACAATATGATGTTTCCAATGCTTTCCTTCATGGAAATCTCGAAGAAGAAGTTTTTATTGAACAACCACAGGGATTCGTTGACCCTACTGCACCTCATCATGTCTGTCGCCTTAAAAAGGCACTTTATGAACTCAAGCAAGCCCCAAGAGCTTGGTTCCTCAAACTCTCAAATTGCCTACAAGATCTTGGTTTTCAAGGTTCTTCAGTTGACAACTCTTTATTTACTTATCACCATGGGCAGATACATGTTTTTATATTAATCTATGTTGATGACTTATTGATTACTGCTTCATGTTCCCAATTCATTCAAATAGTAACTAAGCAACTCCAACAAGATTTTGCACTCAAAACTCTAGGTAATCTTGGATATTTTCTTGGAATTGAAGCTACTCGGGACTGTCATGGTCTTCATTTACGTCAAAGCAAGTATATCCTAGATATTTTGCATCGATCAAGAATGATTGGGGCCAAACCATATCCTACTCCTTGTGTATCTGGTGAAAAATTGTCTTCTAGCACTGATGAACCAGTTGAAGACGCTACAACTTAGAGGCAAATAGTCGGGGCACTTCAGTATTGTACTCTTACTCGCCCTGAAATTGCATATTCAGTCAATCAACTCTTCCAACATCTTCATTCCCCTACTCATATCCATTGGAAGTCTGCTAAGCGAGTCTTGCATTACCTCAAAGGCACTGTTGAACATGGTTTGTACTTCAGCAAGGGTCCTCTAACTCTAAATGCATATTGTGATTCGGATTGGGCTGGTGACCCATCTGATCGAAGGTCTACTATTGGCTATGGTATTTTCTTTGGCCCTTGCTTAATATCATGGTGTGCTAAGAAGCAAAGTGTTGTAGCTCGATCTAGTACGGAAGCTGAATATCGAGCTCTTGCGATGGTGGTTGCTGAACTTTATTGGATTCGCATGTTACTAAAAGACTTGAACATTCCACTTACTTCACCTCCAACCATTTGGTGTGATAATCAAAGTGCCATTGCACTCGCTGCCAATCCCGTTTATCATGCTCGTACAAAACATATTGAGGTGGATTTTCATTTCATTAGAGAAAAGGTGGTAAATGGTGATGTTTGGATTCAGTACATCTCTTAAGTGGATCAAGTGGGTGACATTTTCACAAAAGGATTAACATCCTCTCGATTTCAACTGTTGAAGGACAAGCTCATGGTTTGTGACCTTCCCATTGGCTTGCGGGGGGGTGTTAGACAGCAACCTTTCATTCCTATTCCCAATTCTC